TGAAGCCTTCTCAGATCTAACTCTTGCCTACCTCCCTAGCGTACTTCCTGCTCTGTTGCCTCTGCTCCTATCCTACTGGACTGAATGTTCTCACACTGCACTATTATTCTTTTTTTTTTTATTGGTTGCTTAAAACATTACAATGATCTTGACATATCATATATCATACATTTGATTCAAATGGGGTATGAATTATTATTTTTACCACGTGTACAGATTGCAGGATCACATTGGTTATACAGCCACATTTATACATACTGCCATAATAGTGTCTGTTGTATTCTGCTGCCTTTCCTATCCCTTACTATTATTCTTTTAAATCTCTTAAACATGCTGTTCCCCTTTCCAAAAATGCCCTTCCACCACCCTTCTTCTCTCTTGCTCTCTCTTTTCCTCTCTAATCACTCAGCTAAGCTCTCCCATTTTATGAAACATCTTCCTTAACTCCTCAACCTCTGGATGCTTGAGAGTCCCTGATTATGTGCCCTTTTAGCAGCTTGTGCATGCCTCTGTATTGTAATCATTTTATATTTTGCTGCTTCTCCTGCTAGATTGTTAGTTCTCAAAAATAATTATGGTGTCTTATTCTCTATTTTTGATGATCTGATCACCCTTTCTGCCAATCTGATTCTTACTTAATATTTTACTTATTTTCTGGATGGGCAACATAGTCATATGACTAAAAATGCAGAAGTTAGAGAACTGTTACAGAAAAGAATTGTGTTAATCAGCTTTTCATTGCTGTGACAAAATACCTGAGAAAAACAATTTAAAGGAGGAAAGATTTATTCTGGCCCACAGTTTCAGGTCACTGTCAGCAGACTCCACTGTTTCTGAGCCTGGGATGAGGCAGAGCATTGTGGTGGAAGGGAGTGACAGAGCAAAGCTGGTAACCTCATGGCAGCTATAAAGCAGAGGGAGGCAGAGAGGAGAGAAAGAGAAGGGGTCGGAGAAAAGATACAGTACTCCAGGGATCCATGCCCCTCAACTAGGCCCCGCCTCCTACAGCTTCCACCATCATCCAAAAGTCCATTCAGCTATGAATTCATCAATGGATTAGGTTAAAGCTTTCATGATCCAACCACTTCCTGCCAGGGCTGCCCTGCAGACGAGCTAGGCACACCCCCTCAATCTTGAGTAATGGGGGTACTGAACTAGCATTGCACGCTGTGAGAAGCAAGTGGGTCTTAACCTTTGTTGGGCAAGGAAGTGCCTTAGCTTTGGGCTTGGGCATCTCCCCCACCCCCATTTTCTGTAATTGTATCCCTTTCCTTATTTGAGTGGAATATTCTAAGGAGTGTCTTTTTCCTAATAAATAGAGGGTTTCTGGTGTGTTCTCTCTTGCTCCTCGTGACCTTTTCCAGTGCTGTACAGTGTGGGAGCTTGACCCTTGAGGTCGAAGAGCCATCCCTGACCCCTGCAAAAGGTACTTCTGTGTTTGTGTGGTCTTTTCATTGCCAGACCAAACCACACAGAGTGACCCTGATCTCATCACCAACACAGGATGTGGGCAGTGACTTCCTAAAAGCCCTACCTCTGAACACTGATGCAGTGGAATCAAGACTTCAATACATGAGTTTTGGGGGTACATTCCAGATCCAAACCAAAACAGGAATAAAGTAAAAAGTCTCCTTTCTACCCTTGACTTCACCCTAGCTGTCTAGTCTCCCTCCCCAGCAGCATAATGTTATCAGTTTCTTGTGATATTTCTAAATATATACATATATACATGCTTCCCCTTTCATATAGGATGGTATTATGTGCTAGAGTCTGAGCTACACCTTGTTCTCACTTAACCATACACAGTCTCCATGAGACCTTTCCACAGCAGTGCATAAACAGTTTCCTTATTCGTTATTTACAATGATTCAGTTTTCCATTGTGGATGTATCATTTAACCAGTAACTGTTAGATTGAATTCACAAACGATTGGAAACTAACAGTACTGCAACAACTTCCCTACACACACACACACACACACACACACACACACACAGTCATTTTACACCTGTGAAAGTGTAATACTAGCATGAACTCCTGGAAGTGGAACTGCCAGATCAAGATATATGTGTTTTGTTAGTTTGACCATGTATTAGTGCCCTTCATGGAGTTTGTAGATATCATCTTATTTATCTCTGCATCCCTAAGCTACTATTTTTTAAAAAATATTTCTAGTGTCAAGTGCTCTACCACTGAGCCACAACCCCAGCCCAGTACTGTAATCTTCATGCTTCATCTTCCTAGGTATGCCAAAAATGCAAGGTCCTGACTGTTTTTCACTGGGGTTATATTTCAGGGTTGCGGGGATGTATTTGTATGAGCAACCACGAGGGATAAAGTAATATCTCCCTCTAGGTCAAAGAACAGGTTTGCTTACTGCTTCCTATAAAATGGCAGCTTCCTCAAGTTCAGTGTTTCTTAGCTGTGTTGTGAATCCACTAAGGGCACAGCATTCATTGGGGCCCTTTGTTTCAAGCATGTGTTACTCAGGATGTGGGAAGGGCAAAAGGAACTGACACAAACACGCTGAAGCTCCTTGCTTCTTGGGTCTTGAGTAATAGACGGTCTTTTGTCTCTGACCCAGAAATCTTGTGTCTTCCACAACACCTATGAAACAGTAAACAGATTTACCTTATCAGTAGGGTGAAATCAATTGTCAGACTGGAGTAATAATGGCTTAAATAAGCTTATTTTCACCGTTTTTCACTCTCACTCTTTTTACTTCTCTTCACCAGGCACTTTGCACAACATCTGTAAGTTTGTGTTTTGGTAGGCAGCCAAAGCCACCAATTGCCACCATTTGTAAAGAATTCTATTGTTCTGCTGGGGAAAACACCATGAATTTAAAATAAAGGTAACTTCAAAACCACGGCACAGTTGAAGTCATTACTGGGCCGCTCTAACGCCCGGTTAGAGCTGTTTGCTTCCACGCTTTTGGTTTAGTTGGTGCAGCTCTTACACAGTTAGGGCAGTTGTGCAAACACGGCGAGGCCTTGCTTCCGGTTACTCAACATCCGGTTTCCTCGGGCTCTCCGAGCTTCAGTTTCCTCAGGAGTGAAACAGGGAAACGAATTCAGATCCAGCTGTCTCACGAGGTGGTTCTGGGCCGTGGAATAAAGCGAACACGAGTTACCAAGCAAGTTAGGTTCGTGATGAATCACAAACATCACCTACGACGAACCCCGTTGGGTTTCTTTCTTTCTCTCTGCCTTTTGTCCCTTCTCCCGTCGCCCCCACGGGGCTGGGGAATCCACTCCAGTCCTCGTGCAGGCCACGCACAAACTCCACCTCTCTCCTCTGGGCTCCAACCTTAGCCCAATTAACGTTTTTAGAGGCTATGAAATGAAAGGACGAAACAAAAACCGAACCTTGCCCTAAGCCAGCAGACCAAAACCTCGCCAGGTCGGCGCTAGGCTGGAGGCTCACTTAGGCAGCACGTGGATCTCCTCACAGACCCCAGGAGAGAAACCACAACTCCCAGCAGGCCTTGCTCCCGAGCGTGCGCCCTAGAGCTCCGCCCAGGCCGGGCCCAGCCTCGCCCCGCCCCCGCGGCCGGAAACTACATTTCCCGTGAGGCCTCGCGGTGCCCAACCTTCCGCTTTCCCCCGCCCCCTGCTCCCCTTCACCCCGCCGACAGCTCCGTGGCCGTCTCGGTCCCGCGGCCGGTGGTTCGGGCGCGCGCGCCGAGGGTCGCGCGGCTGCTGAGGAGGGCGAGCGCGCGCTGGGAGGGAGTGGAGGCGTAGGGGGGCGGGGGTACGGCTCGATTGCTCGCAAGATGGCGGACGAGGACGGGGAAGGGATTCACCCCTCAGCCCCTCACAGGAACGGCGGCGGCGGCGGCGGCGGAGGGGGGTCCGGGCTCCACTGCGCCGGGAACGGCAGCGGGGGAGGCGGCGGCCCGCGGGTCGTGCGCATCGTCAAGTCCGAGTCCGGCTACGGCTTCAACGTGCGGGGCCAAGTGAGCGAGGGCGGGCAGCTGCGGAGCATCAACGGGGAGCTGTACGCGCCGCTGCAGCATGTGAGCGCCGTGCTGCCCGGGGGGGCGGCCGACCGGGCCGGGGTGCGCAAGGGGGACCGCATCCTGGAGGTGTGAGTATCCGGGCCCCGCGCCGTCCCCGCGTCTCCTCCTCCCTGTCACCCTCGGGCCGCTCCTCTCCCAACCCTGCCCGGGTCTCGGGACCCCCGCCTCCCCCGGCCTACGCTGCCCGATCCCTCCCAGTGAGTCGACCCACCTCTCCCGGTTCTGCGACTCCCACACTCCTGTCTGTCTTCTCCAGTTCACGTCCTTGCGCCCCCATGCCTTGGCTGCTTTCTGTCCCTTTGGCATGCCGTCTTTTGCTCCCCACTGCGCCTGGCCTGCTTCCTAACGAATGTCTTCTGCTCCTTACTAACGGCATCCCCTTTTCTGACCCAGCCAGGATCGTGTCTTCCTCAAGTTCTTGTCTTTAGCATCATAGTTTCCTGTTCCCTGCCACTCCCCTCAGTCCCTGTGGACTGTCCCTTCTGCCCTCTAGACCAAGTAAGCAGGACCTCGGTCTGCTCCCACTTCACCTCCGGAAACATCTCTTCTTACTCCACTCCTTTTTCTTTCCCTGTCACCCTTCCCTTACGGTTAAGCACCCCCAGTGTTTCCCATTTACCTCTTGTCCTTTCTTCCCCTCCTTTTTGTATTCATAACCAACAGTACACCTTCTTTTCTGACCCTTGCATGCTTTTTGGAGGGGGTGAACTGGGGGTTCCGTAGTTCTGGTATTATACCCTGACTGCATCTGAGTGCATCCCTGTACTGACCTCCTATCTTCACTCCTGCACTAGACTCACACTTCTTTTGAGTACGGTTTATGGTGGAGCTGTCTAGCTCCTACTTTCCCCAAACTACAACCCCTTTTTGGGTCCTTGACTTCTGCACATTTTTAGTGCATGCCCAGTTCCATTTTCTCTTCTATTCCATGCTCTTGGGATCCCATACTTGACTTTATCCCATTTCTCTCCTATAGGTTGTTCTCCCTTTCTTCTCTTTTTAAGGCCCTTTCTGGCTGCTGCAACCCACCCTTTTCCCCTGCTGCAGTCCCTCCCCCATCATTCATCCTTAGTTCCCCACAGCATCCCTTAAAGCTCAGAGATTGCTGTCTTGTCTTGCAGTTTCTATGCAGACTTCCTCCACTGCCCTAATCTAGGTGTTACATTCACATTTTTGTACTTGGTATTAAAATTCATAACGTGGTTGCTGGTTGACTTGGAGAGGTTTATGTTCTCATTGTCTCCGTTCTCTCTAGCAATCTTCAATTCTGTACTTCTCTTCTTACTGCCTCTATATTATATATTCTTTTTTTACTTTTATTGTCTTGCTTTATGCTGACAAATCTCTCATTTTTTAAAAAACATTTTATTTTAATTGTAATTTCCACAATTGTCTGTCTTTGCTCTTTTAAAATAGCAGGTTTACCCAAGGTTTATAAAGAGATGGTATCTTGAAGAGTCTGGTCTTTTTATTTTTATTTTTCCTTGGTGGACACAGTATCTTTATTTCATTTTTATGTGGTGCTGAGGATTGAACCCAGTGCCTCACATGTGCTAGGCGAGCTCTGTACCGCTGAGCTTCAATGCCAGCCAGCCAGAGTCTAGTCTTATATAGGAGTCCTTTCTTATTCATCTTGTGCCTCTGCTCTTACCCTTGATGGTCTTAATCTAGAGTATCTACTCATTTTTTTCTTCCTCATCTCTTTTACCTCAAGAAAGAATAGGTCACCAAAATATGTGTTTGAAGATATTATACCTTTCTTGTTCTTTCTATAAATAGATGCTTTCTTTTCTCATTAGTGTCCTACATACTATTTTCTAGTAATCTGCAAATATATTCTTAGTCTTTTACAGGGGCAGGACATTCAGATATAGAATATAATAATGATCTTTGATTTCTAATATCTGAGCACTTAGTTGTTTTCTTCCTAGATAACTGAAAATCTGTAGTTAATGTTTTCTTCTGATAGAAGCTCTTGGAATTGTCATTTTCCTTTCCCTTTGGATCCACCTATTTATTTTTAGACAATGTATTTAAAATTATAGATCTATTATAAAGTTTTTTTTGTTTGTTTTTTGTTTTTGGTATCAGGATTGAACATTGAGCCATGTTCCAGCCCTATTTTGTAGTTTATTTAGAGGCAAGGTCTCACTGAGTTGCTCAGTGCCTTGCTTTTGCTGAGGCTGGCTTTGAACTCGAAATCCTCCTGCGTCAGCCACTCCAGCCACTGGGATTATAGGTGTGTGCCACTGCCCCCAGCAAGATCTATTATAAAGTTTTAAATTATTTACTCTTTATAGGATCTAAAGGAACCAAACTTAAATAAAATTCTGTAGGTGACTACAGCTAAGGTGATCTGCCACATATATATATATATATAATCACGCCCCCCCCAACAAACAAAGTTGGTGGCTTCTTTCCTTTATTATATTTTCTGCAGTAAAGCCCAGGTATAAATTAGGTGCTGTAAGGGAGACCCCAGATGATCCTGTAGGACAGGTAGATGGACTTGCCTCAGCTCTAGGTTCCAAGCTAGGAACCTAGGAAGTCTTTTCCTTCTAGAGAAAAGACATTGCTTTTTAGCACATCCCTAGTAATGAGTGGAGAACTTTGTCTCCTTTAAAGGACAGGGGGAAAGGACAATCTTCTCTGGAAGGTTGTGATGATCAGAAATCTTCCTGGAATTGATTTCTCACCCTTCCCACTATATTTTGATATCCAAATTATTTGGAACTTCTCTGATACTGTAGTGAGAGGTAGTGATAGTTGTAACACAAAGCTAACCAAAGGGTAAATTCTCTTGAAACCTCATCTATATAGTTTCTTGTTTGTTTGTTCTTTCCTTTTTTGTCTGCATCTTTTCCTTAGGTTTTCATGTGAGAGGAGGAAATAAACCACCAAAAAGACATTGTTCTTTCTGTACCTGCAGCTTGTTTTGATCGGATTTGATTGATGCTGAGTTTCATAAGCATTCTTTAGACAATACTCTTTAGAACTTTCATTTGCCTCTTCTTTAAGTCAGCCTCTCTGTTGTCCCAGGAATATTTTCCATGTTGATGAAGTGCCAGGTGGGGTCTGAGTTAGGGATAGGTAGATTATCATTCTGTAGATTATTGTGTGTCAGATTGTAGGTGGACTTTGCTGTTTAAGACTTGCCTATCTTAAACCTTTTCCCCCTGTGTACAAATTTGTTTTATTCCAGTTTCCATATATTACACTCATAGAGGCATGAAAGAACAGTGACTGAGATTTAAGGGGATATAAGTTTGGATACAAGTAAGAGGCTGAGTCTCTGTGATCCCTTTAGAATCTGCTTATCAAGGTTCTGTCTTCACTGAATCTTGGAACTATCCTTAAACTATTATTGGAGTCAGTCTGGTTTAGTCCTTTTTCCTATCAAAACTGACTAGATTGTAACTGGTTCCAGAGAGATTCATGTTGCAGGACACGGTAGTGCAGTATGAAGAAGCCCTCTGGGCTCTGAATTTTACTACAGATGGAAAGTTTTCTTGACTAGCAACAGTAGTCTCCACCTTGTAATTTTTCCGGGTGTAACATACACTGAGTGTTTTCTCTTTGATGTGTGTGTACCTGGAGGCTAATGTGTGAAGGATGCTTTCAACAAATGGACCCCAAATAAATATGTCTTTGTGCTAATTACATAGTATGTGAAGTAATTGACTTCAGGTTAATTTTCTTAAGGTTAAAGTAATTCCAAGGGCTTTTGATTTCTTGAGGAATGCCTTTATGAAGCTTTTAGTGTGCTGTGAATTTGGATTTGGGATTGTCTAGATTTTTGAGGGATTAGGTTTGTCTCTTGGCTGTTTCTTTTGTCTCTTTGGTATTTGGATAGTGTGATCTTTAATCATGGACCCCTATGGTTGGTTTGCTAGCATTCAAAATCACATGATATACTTACACTAATCAGAGTATAAATGTTTTCCTACTCGATAGCTTTCAGATAATACATCCATCAGATTTCCCTTGTTAAAATTAAACCATAAGCTAAATTAGGGTACCTATATAAATTTTCTTATTGAGAGTCAACTTTTTTGCTTTGTTTTGTGTGAAAATTTGAACATCATTGAATAAAAAGATACGACATTGGTGCCACAAGAAGTATTTTTACAAGTTGTGTGATTCATGTAACATTGACTGCTAAGTAACTTCTCAAGAGCTGCTTTCTTAATTGTAACTGAATTCTATTTGGATCACATTTTCCAGGTAGATTTTGGTAATAGTGTTTGAAATGCTTTATTAATCAGAGGAAAATTTTATGGCAGTAGTTCTCGTTTTTGTGCATGTAGGTATCACTTGGGCGTTCTTGTCGAAAGCATAGATTCTCAGGCTTTACCTTTTAAGAATTGTGATTAAATAGGTCTTGCATGAGACCTAGCAATCTGTATTTTTTACTCCTTTGCCAGATTAGGGAATGCAATCCACATACAGAGCCACATGCCCAGAGCAACACTGGATGTACCTTCATTCTCAGTTCATTTTATCACTATGGTTATGTTGAGAGTCATGAGGGAAGACTATGCTAACAAATAGTGATTTTTTTTTTTTTAGGCTTTTGAATTCCAGCCTAAGTAGAAAATCAGAAAAGTACTAACTATTCTACCTGATTATGTATACTTTACTTATTGGATCTTGCTAAGCTCTTGCAATAAAGGTGGGTTGTTAAGAGGTAGAACAAACAATCATAATCATTATTCTGCTTTGCAATGTGTACAGTGTGTTAACTGTTTGCATTGTTTTTGCATTTGAACTTCACAACAGCCCTGGGAGGGAAATTATAAACTCCTTTGAGGGCAGGTATTATATCAAACATTCTGTATTTGTTGACCCTCTAGCCAAATGTCTGGTGGCATATAGAAGGTATTTCCCAATAAATACTTGCTGACTGAATATGAGTAAAATTACCCCACTTTGTAAGAGGAAAACTGAGTTTTGCACTAATGAGTAGCAATCAGAATTAAAGGCAGGTCTTTGCATTCTAAATATTTTCCATTTCTTTGATTTTTCAGCTATTGACTATTATATTCTTGATTGTAATCACTTAATTTATAATTGTTAAAATTCAGTTACATTCTTATAAACTTGGATAGCAATTGAACTTTGGTTCTACCATAGTGAAATGTAACAATCTTATATATTTATTTACCCTTTATCTCCTGTTGTTAATTGGATAAGAGATGGGGACCAAAGCAATCTTCTTTGTCTTTATTGTTGGTATCTTTACTGGTTGTCAGTGAAGAGAGCATGACAATCATAATTGTAACTTCAAAAATACTTCTAATTTCATGTGTAGTTAAAGTTGCAAACAAATAATACTGATTTGAAAACAGCATTACACTTTCCTCAGAAATCACTTCCACAGATTGCTGTAACCAGGAAAAGATCTTTCTTTACTATCATAAAGATTTGTCTGGGTCTTATAAATTGTTGTGAACAGTTGTCTTTCCTGGTTTGTTTCAGTTTAGAGCTTGTTACCATGCTCTCAAGGATAATTATTTTTAAAGATAAGTCTCATTGGGAATAATTCTTACGATCTTGTAGATAAGCAAAGAGACTTAATTGACAAGCAAACACTTTATAATTTA